TGTTGTTTGGATTTCTAAAACAGTCCGCATTGATGAAAATTACTTTTTGAAGTTAGAAACGTTCCTTATTCGTTTTGATGAAGGTAAAGGGACTTGTATGAGATCTTCCGAAAGAGGTCAACTTTTTCCCGGAAATAAAAAGAAAAAACAATGTTAAAAAAAGTCGGGAATTTATCAACATTATTTTTGTTTCTTGTCACGCCATTAAACTGAAAAACAAAACGGACTCAATCGGCTTAAAGCCAAGAATCATCGAGAAAATTTATACCAATCTGGCAAAGTCTTTCTTTCAGAGTCAAATATTTTCCACTGAATAGGCGATCGCCCAAATTTCGGACAAAAATTGATGGGATGTAGTTTGGGGGGCCAATTTTGTTCGCCATAAAAATGATAAGTTACCCGTTGCGTTCTGGCAAAGAATTATTTGACGACTCGGAGACAAACAATCTCCCGATGCTAACATATTTATACATTCATGATATCTTCCCCAGCCATATTTAATAATGTTTATGATTAGCGAAAAGTTTTACTTTTCACAGGTTTTTTCCTTTCGAGGTAAAAAGTCAATACTCTTGTACACCGTAATATTTTTAATTTTGGATTTTATAGGGTCAAGCGAAAACTAAGAGGGAATCATCCGTTGAGTGTAAGAGACATATTTGATTTTTAAATCGTGTCCAGCTTTGTTGTATTCGTATTAATGGCCCGTACGTCACGGATTAGTTTCATGATAAAAAAAAACCCCAATTGCTCAAAATATTATATTATACTCAATAAGTTCCTGTTTTCACTGTTTTAGTTAAATATCTTTGATCACAGTTCTCATTTTTCCTTCAAGTTATCAAAAATTGGTAACAACAGCTTCACCTGCTTAGACTACTCGGGAGGGTAACCAAAAGGATCTTCGGTTGCTTGTAACCAGCTCCCCCATCAGTAATGATAATGAAACATCACGGTTTACTCCTAAATCTTTGTTGGATGCTACTATAAAGCTCCTCCCTGCCCCCTTCCCCATTAAGAATATGCCCACCCCAATAACTATTGGAAAGTGAAACTTCCGGAAAATTCCGAGTAATTGGGAGTTCCTGAGGAAAAATCACCCGTTCTTTGAAGAAAGTTTCGATGAGTTTCAGGAAAAGAATCTGTGGAAAAAAACTTGACCTATTCAGGAAGAGGCTTTTCGAGTTAAATTCGTTCACC